CCAAAAAGGAAGAGAAGGACAGGCGGAGAGATCGTCAGCCTTCTCTGTTAAAGAGGACCATGAGAAATAGGTGTTTTCTGGTAGTCTTTGATGACCACTCTGAAACCCCTTCATGACCCCCCCAAGGGGTCCCTACCCCCAGGTTGAGAAACACTGATCTAGAGGGCACTAGGTTGGAGAAGGCTATACTGAAGATAGGATGAAGGGGAACCTTTCTTAAGTCAAGTCTGAATGTATGCAATACCATATACAATACTTCTATGTCTGTTATGAATTATCAATTTAAAAGGATCAGGGCTGGTTTGGTTTTTTGCATATTTCAGAGGGCAATCCAACTGTCCTGGGGAAAGTATTCTAACTCAAATAATTTTGTGGACCTCTTTTCTTGCATATTAACAGGAACGTCCACAATAGAAAAGTCATGGAAAGTTCAACTGCACCTCCTCCTTTACTGTTGGAGCCATGACAGCATCAAATGCTGAAAGAGGGTCAGGGGAGAAGTTGGATCCAATGTTTCTTCCTCTCCTAATCAAATACCTCTAAGTAGGGATAATAAGGAAAGTAAGTACCCCAACTCCAGTTGTTGAAGCATTTATTTTCTTTCTCTTTGAAAGCAATGCAGAGGGGAAGGGATAATTACAGCTAATGAAAAGATAGAGGAAAAGGTAGGACATATTCTAACCTGGCTAAATCGAACCCACCACAGAACTGTTGTGTTACTTTGTATCTGCCTGCATACACTGTCATCAGGCTACACTCTGGCCTTGAGCAGCTGTGCGGTCTTCCAGAGTGACCTGCACGATTATGTTTTTCAGTGGCAGCACACTCTTATGAGAAGCTGGCACTATCCGTGATTTTACTAGCAAGCTCAATACTTCTAAAAAAAGTGATGGCATCTCGCTTGCCTTGTTGTTGTTGGATATGTTTCGTAATTTCAATTGGTAAGACCAAGAATTTAATTAGATGTGATATTAGTCATAAAGCCAGCCCTAAGCTTCCTCGTGGTAAGAGCTATCTGACAGTGGGATATGCTACCTCTGAGTGTCATGGAGTCTCCTTCCACTGAGGTTTTTGAGAAGAGGCTAGGTAGCCATCTGTTGGGGGTGATTTATGTATTCTTACATGGAAGGGGGCTCTTGTGGTCTATTCCAACTAGATGTTTCTATGGTAATCAGATTACAGGTATATAAAATGATGCTCTGGTGTAATGTGTCAATCATGGTTGTGGATGTAGTTTCACTCCTGAAAACCAGGTAGAAAGGTCTTGTTTTAAAGGGGGAAATGAAGAGATGATCATATCTTCCATAACTAATTTGGTCATGATTGTTCCTCTCCCTGCATTTCCTTTAAGGTCCAGCTCATAATTTCCATGCACTTTCTTTAAAAGCATAATTGCACTTCTGGGAAAGGGAAATTGCAAACAAGACACACAGAAAGCCACTAGCAGGAGATCTACTTACACCAGTAGTTCTCAACCTGTGGGTCCCCAGATGTTTTGGCCTTCAACTTCCAGAAATCATAACAGCTGGTAAACTGGGTGGGATTTCTGGGAGTTGTAGGCCAAAACACCTGGGGACCCACAGGTTGAGAACCACTGACTTAGACACTGTTTATCTTAAACTTCAGGTCCCAACCCCAAACAGGGTCCTTAGCGAAATATTGGGGTCCTGAGAAATTTGTCAACAATCAAAACTTTCTGAATGTCACCCAGTGGTTGTTTAGACATTTACACAAATCTGTTGTATTGTGTTTACAATGGACTTCGAAGATGCTTAAGCTGCATTCCACAAAAAAAAAAAATATCAGCCTGTTTTGCAAGCCTTGCAAATGGTGATTTATTATAAAAAAAATTGCACTGCTTTTTATATCAATACACATGGGGTTATGTAAACATTTCTGGGGCTGAAGGGGGTTGTGAGTGGAAAGGTTTAAGAAGCCCTGTGCAAGGGCATTGAGGACCTAGGATAATTGACAAAAAAAGCTGGAATGCACATGCAACTCGTAAGTTATATGTTGCTGCTTACCTTTCTTCTAGCAAAGAACCTCTGGAGAGTTTTATAACATTAGTAAACAATTCCTACGCATTCTGTTGTAAATAGGAAATAAAAAGTGTTGTGTTTTTTTACCATCTATAGCAGGTATGGGCAAACTTCGGCCCTCCAGGTATTTTGGATTTCAACTCCCACAATTCCTAACAGCCTACCGGCTGTTAGGAACTGTGGGACTTAAAGTCCAAAACACCCAAAGTTCCAAAGTTTGCCCATGCCTGATATATATTGTAGAAACTGCACTTTTTGCCCTCATCTAAAGAGCATTTTTTTTCCAAAAAAATTGGGGAAGAGACAGTGTGGTTGTGAGAATACTACCAATATGCCAATTTAATTGTCCCTGTGATATCACCAGTGATGAACTGTGTGCATATGACTGTGCTATTTAGTGTGAAAACATAGACACAATAAAGACAGCAACTGATTTTACTGAGACACAATAATAACCGCAGCTACATACCACACCTATTTGGAAAATCTGTGAAGTTCCAATGAATTTACTGAAATGTTGTAAAAACTCATATGTGTTCCCTAAGGTCAAATGTAAGATGATTATTAAAATTAATCAGTATAAGACTCATTAGTATCTGCCCGGGGCACACCAAAGATACAAAAATATTTTCCTGTATTGAGAAGAACTCCAAATACGACCCATCCATGGTAACAGTCCAGAGTTTATGAGGATCTCTGTAATAACAACAATTCATTTAAAACCTCACAGAAAATCCAGATGTAAAATTATCTTCAATTATTCATTTCTAATTATTTTCAACTGACTCAATCAGGAGTTGCTCAAGCCTATTTTAATGTGTCAAAAGGATATCAAATATGCTTATCCTTTACTCCACTAAATATTTTTCTGGCCTGATAGGCTGAAAAAGGCAGTATACAAATACAGTAAATAAATAAATATTGTCATTTTTTCAAAAAGGATCCTGATATATACAACAGAATGTTTGGGCAAGCATGATGGGTTTTTTAGATCTCCCCTATAGTTCTTAATTATAACATATGTAGGGCACCTATTCTGAACTGTAAGCATCCTGTCCATGAACATAACCACAAAAAGCCAGGACCTTAGTGTAGTCCTCTTATTTCTCTTCTTTCTCTACAACCTTGAAAATACAAATTTTACAAAATGTCTTGAATATTGTCAAAACTAGGCATGAGAAACTACTTTCAGGAACAAGAGCCCTCACAGAGATACTTTGCCAGGAGCTCTTTCGTTTATAACTGCAGGACCTCCTGCTTATATGCTATTTTCTCAGCTGTGATAGCTTATCTGCAGTGGAGACACGATCTCACACATAACTAGGTTTGCCTAGGAGTTTATAGCATCGACTGTAATCTCTTTGCACTGCTGGCACTGGATTTCTTGCTGTTGCTTAGACAAGAACCAAAAGTTACACTACGCACATATCTGTCTCAAAAGTACCAGCTTCCCATCTCTTCCTTCTTTCACTGAATATATAAAGTTACTGCATGGTGTGTTTCACTGTTTTCACTATACTTCATTGATTGCTTCTTGTGGGTGCCAGAAACCTGTAATATAATACAGTATTATCACATGTTTAATTCTAGGGTATTATTTCTTTAGGTTAGACTGTATTAAATGGTATGAGTAGATTCATAAAATGCAATTCAATGCAGTATAGGTAGGGGGCCTGAATCTGCTGCTGTAAGCACTATAAACTACTGTTTCCATATGACAACTGTTGTGTTTTCTACTACAATACAATATAAATACCTCGATGATTCTGCATGCCAAGGTGGTCAATTTAAGTAGCCCAGGGGCAAATTTTCTGGCCCACTGAACATTCCTTTTGTTGTTGTTATATGCCTTCAAATTGACTCTAACTTGTGTTTATTTAAAGGAGGTCTGCCATTGTCTTCCTCTAAGACTGAGAGAGTGTCATTTGTTCAAGGTTATGCAGTGAGTTTTATGAATCAGCAAGGAATTTAACTCTTAGAATTGAAACCCAATCTCCTATAACCCTAATCCTTATCAATTACTGCACCATTCTGGCTCTTCTGGGGACAAATATGTACAGGGTAATATTTTTGTTTAAACCATAATCCTGAAAAGACCAGCAAGAAACCACATCCACTGAGCTGCTTCCTGGAAGCAAGGGAGGGCCTTACAGCATGGCAATCCAAGATGTAGTCCCCACTCCTGAAACACCAACAAAGATCCAGATCTCCCTGTAAGATTCTGACCTTTCCAGGTGTTTTTTGAACCCAGGATCAAGGTGGATTAATTGGTTGGCCCTGGGTTAAAATGTATTAGCTTGTGTGCATCACAATTAAAATGTATTAGCTTGTGTGTATATTAGTCTGGTGCACACCAGACTAATATGTGTCCTACACTGGATTAAATGACAATGTAGATGCAACTCAAACTTTTTTAAAAGATCTATCTCTCCTAACTGCCTTGCCACTGCCTGACACAAATTTCTTCTCTCAACTTGTGACTTGTAGAAAATCTTCTTCGTGCCAAAATGTTAGCTATTCTGAGAAACCTGATATTTAGAGCTCTACACAATAAAGCCCCAAATAGCACTCACTCTTTGCTAGATCTTAATAATGTCCTGCAATTCATATCTTTAAATATCAAATCATTTGCAGAAAAAGCTGAAAGCAGTACATGAATAACAAAAGACAATTCATCCTTATATATGTGTACAGCCATTGTTACTATGAACCTGTTGACTGCTTCTGTTTTCTATTGGCTTCCATATCAGCAGATCAGATCCATCTGGCTGCTCCTAATTCTGCATGACTGTCCAAAGCATTCTTATGTTCATTCAAAATAACTCAAGCAAGACAAAAACACCAGATAAAGAAATACATAAAACATAACTGGAAGCTTTCTTCCTAATATGTATTCTTCAAGATACAATGTTGGTTAGAACATGCCAGTGACCAATACCTTATTTTATTTATTTATCTTACCTATTTAACATGTTGGATTGGTAGATCCTCTTGTCTTGTGTGTTGTAGCAACTACTCTTAGGCTCAGGAATGAAGCTGTGCTCGGACAGCATGTCAGAGGCGGCTGTGGTTATTATGGCTATTCCATCTTTCACCCTGTCACGAAGACCATAGTCCCATTCATCGTATGATACAGAAATAAGTCCAGTGGGGAATTCAGAGGGCACCGTGTCTGTATCTCCAGCTACCAAACTGGGCACAATCCATGTGTAGTCATACCCAGTCAGACCCACAGAGTTGGCCACCTCAAAGATATAGGTAGCTTCTTCCTTAGTGCAGTACAGGAGGATGACAGGACTCTGGAGTTTCTTGAGCTGATTCTGGATCTTTGAGTCCCCATCATCCAAAGACATGTCCAACAAGAGTACTTCTTCTAGCTCCCAGCCCACAAAGCTGTTTTCAATAGTGCTGCGGACCTTGTTGACAAAGTCCTGATAGCCAGGAAAGTATGTAGTGACAATGGAGAAGATGTACCAGTCATATTCTTCCATGATATTGAGCATGACAGAAGCCTGTTGTTCTATTGATGGGCCAAATTGGAAGAACATGGATGATTCATCCTATAACGGTCAGGAAAAAAGAGAAAAATTGGTCAAAAGAAGGAAATGAGAAAAAGTTTGGAGAAGTCTACTAACATAGAGAGGACAAGAAATTACTTCATGCTAGCTAACTTGGTTGTGGCAGGGTTGTGTCACTATAACTATAGTGAAAATAGCAAAATTCAAAGTAAGATGATCTTAAAGGGCCACAAACTATTGTTTAGTTTTATACAATTTAGATAACTGTGAGAAGTAAGCAGAGTCTACAAAAAATACTGCAAGAAAAAAATCATCAGTTGCAATAACAAGTGACACTTCCCAAAAAAATCAATGCCCTTTCTTATGTAGGCTGGAAAGCCTTCCTCACTACTCTGGATGTTTCATAGAAACCCAACAATAAGGTTAACAGATTAAGCAGATAAAACAAAATATGGCTGTCAGCAAGACTGAGAACCTGAGCAAGAACAATAGCCTTCTTTTTAGCCATACCAAAAGCAAAGATTTATTGAAACATTTAGTGGTTCCTGGTGTCCAAATTATATTATCCAAATGTCCATGTGGCAAAATATACTTCTTCTCAAAACCAGGGGGTCACATATGAAGTACATGACCTATATTGCTCTTTTTTCTACACAGGAATTTTACTATCAGAAAATATTCTAGGATTAAACACTATGTAGTAAAGTCTCTAGGTAGTGTTTGAGTAATTCCATAATGACAGAACCTTGAAAAATTTGATATGACATTAGAAGCAGCAAGTTGTGAATAAAAATACTGTATCAATGAGAAAACAAATAATCAATCATGCTGCTTCGGAGTCAATAAAACTTCCCAAACTGGTTACATGGACAGTGAAATCTCTACATATTTTATTCCAAACCCAAGTAACAAATGTTATTACTATTAATGGGGGTGAGACCAGTGCTTGGAAAGCATGATACAATTTGAGTATCCCTTACCCAAAATGCTTGAAACCAGAAATATTTGTTTAGTTGCTTTTTCTTTCAGAATAGAATACATGCATCTTCATATACTTTACATTCATCATGAGATATGTTGGAGATGGGATCCAAGTCTAAACATAAATTTCATTTGTATTTCATATACATCTTATGCACATAGCCTAAAGGAATTATATACAATATAATTTTGTGCATGAAACAAAGTCTGTGTACATTGAACCAACCAGCACAGAGCAAAGATATCACTATCTCAACAACCCATACAGACAATTTTGGATTTTAGAGTATTTTAGATTTTGGAATTCCAGATACAGGATGCTCAGCTTGTACAATTAAAGGCTACATAAACTGTATTCAACCCTGGGGCAGATAATCTAAAGACAGATGTTAAAGCATACTATGGGTGGCCAGCATAAAGTATTGTTACTTGATGCAGTATATCTGAGCATGTGCAACTAAACATTTCTGCAATATTTTCATGTTTATAAAACATCAGCATAATACTACATTCTGAGACCGTACAATAATGCAGTGTTCCTATCCCAATCTGAAGCATTTGATGTCTCGGTAATTATACGAATTTAATAATAATAATAATAATAATAATAATAATAATAATAATAATAATAATAGGTTGTTGTAGGGTTTTTCGGGCTATATGACCATGGTCCAGAGGCATTCTCTCCTCACATTTCGCCTGCATCTATGGCAAGCATCCTCAGAGGTAGTGAGGTCACACCCCGAAAAAATCTACAACAACCTACAACAACCCAGTGATTCCAGCCATGAAAGCCTTCGGCAATACAATAATAATAATAATAATAATAATAATAATAATAATAATAACAAAACACTTAATTTTTATCCCGCCCTATCTCCCCAAAGGTACTGAGAGAGGTTTACAACATACAGTGGCAAACATTCAATGCCGTAAAGTGCAATAAAAAAGTGAGCAAGCAGTCATCAAATAGATAATAACATATTAAATATCAACATCAAATAATGATGAAACATTACTTTAGATTAAGCAAAACATGACTTAAATTCACCTTTTGACAAAGAAGCATTTAAAACAAGACTTAAAGATTTAACACTATTACAGGTTAAAATTAAGATTTTAAAAACTGGTATAACAAGCATAATAATAACAATAATAATAATAATAATAATAATAATAATAATAATAATAATAATAATAAACTTTATATGTATTCCACCCTATCTCCCCTAAGGGACTTAGGGCGGATTCCAATCACTGGCTTTGAGCAGTAACATTTTCAAGTAATTACTAGTAAGTCTGTAGAAAATATCCATTAAAAAGAATTAACCAAAGCTATAGAGAGCCAGCATAATATAGTGGTTTGGGAGTTAAACTAAGGCCCATCCAGACAGGCCTTTAAAGTGAGACTTGTCTTGGTTTTACCAGTGTCCAAATGATGCCTCCGATAAAACCGAATTAATTTGGAACAAAGCAGGGTTTCCCGTAGTAAGACCCGAATATTAGGTAAGATCCAGGCCTTACCAGGTGTGAGCCCTGTGTAGATCATGCGATTCTCGGGCCCAATCCACACAGCCCAGAAAACAAGAGGGCACCCACCCCCACCCCCAAACCCCCAAAATAAGCCTTAAAATTTAAAAAAAGTACCAGACCACCATTATGGTGGTCCTTCAGTCCTCCTGGCAAGTAGAAATTATGCACCAGGAGAGAGGGGGCACATAATGGTTTCCTGGCATGCCATTTCTACACACTGGGAAGATTGAAGGATAACAGTGGCCCAATACGTTTTTTAAAAAGTCAAGGCTTATTTGGGGGGGCTTCGGAGAAAGCCAGGGTTTTGCAGGAGGAGGGGGGACACATTTCTGTCATGTGTGGAAGCACCCTAAGACACTGGGTGAAGAAGACTGAAATCCCTGCTTGGCCATGGACACCCACTGGAGTCCCTTCCACACTGCCATATAAAATCCAGATTATCCACTTTGAACAGGATTATATAGCAGTGTAGACCCATATAATCCAGTTCAAAGCAGATAATGTGGATGATCTGATTTGATAATGTGGATAATATGGCAGTGTAGAAGGGGCCTGGGTGAACTTGGAGATGTCACATTTTCTCAGCCTCATGGGAAGGCAAAGGTAACTCTTTTCTGAACAAATGCAACCAAGAAAATGCTGTGATAGGTTTATGTAAGTGCTGTCATACACCATAAATGATTTGAAGGCACAAAACAACAACTAGAGAAATACCAAATAATTTGAAGAAAAGTTTAATTTCAACATGTCACATTACTTGCAATTTGGGCAGAAGCAAAATTGATTGGTAACCAACAGTTTAAAGGTATTGCATCTAAGTTTATGCAGATAGAATTACAGAGGTTTATTACAGGGTTTTAAAAGTCTCTACTCTAAGGGGAATTTCAAATTAGACAACAATGGGCTTGGGAAGGTGAGATTCGAGATAGCATATTGTTCAAAAGGAATGTTCCCATTTGCATTCAGGTGTAACTAGATGGTTCTCACTAGCAGGAATCTAAATATTATGGTCGGAAGAGATACACTGATGTGTGTGCACACCATGACTTTTCATCGGTTTCTGCTTCTGCAGGTACATCAACCCCACTGCCACCAAATCAACAAATCAATTATGAACTCGGATGAGATGTTTAAAAAATGGGTCAGTCGCCTGGTAGGGGATTGCAGCAGTAGAAACTGGTGGAAAAACAGGTGTGCCTAAAGTATCAGTAGTCCTGAAACATAATTATTTACACACCAACATAGTATAGAAGCACATCTATACATCAAGGAATATGGCTCTGTATTGATTTCCTATTGATTTTAATATGTTTAGTTTCCCTCAGTATAAACATTTAGTAATATTATTATTTAGGAAGCATCGCAGTGTGAGATGTTTTACTTCACAAAATCTCATCTCTCTCTGAATCCAAATTTAGTTTTCCTGTCTGAAAGCATCTCCCTCTTTGAACCACCAAGGATTTTAAGATCATCTGATGAGGCCTTGTTCTCAGTTCCACCGCCATTGCAATCGCGTTTGGTGGGGACGACAGACAGGGCCTTCTCCGTGGTGGCACCTGAGCTGTGAAACTCCCTCCCTAATGAGATCAGATCTGCACCATCCCTCCTGACCTTCCAGAAGAAACTCAAATCCTGGCTGTGGGATCAAGCGTTTGCAGAATAAACGGATGAGCTGAGGAAGATAATGCTTGTCGTGAACTGCAATGGACTGATTAGGATGATGATTTGAACTTGCAAATTGTTTTAATGTATATTTATAACTGTTTTTAATCTATGCTAATTGTATTGTATGTTATGTTTTATATGGTGTCGGCATTGAATAGTGCCTGTTGGTAGCCATCCTGAGTCCCTCTTCGGAGGTAAGGACGGGATATAAATGTTCCAAATAAATAAATAAATAAATAGTTACATCTATTTTTAGTGCTTTTGTGAGCCACCACAAGTCCCTTCAGGAAGATGGAGGCCGGATACAAATAAAGTATCATCATCATCATCATATCTCCCTATCTCTATATGGGAAAGTCCATGGGCATGGCTTTGCTGTTCTAGGCTCACTGCAATTCTGGCTACTATCGTAAAAGGCTACTTCAGTTCAAGCAGAAAGGCGAGATTTGTTCAATCCAATCCATCTTGGCACCTGGCAACATGCTCTTGTGTTTAATCACCATGGCACTTCAACCGCCGAAATGAACTTTAGCAAAAATAGCAACATCAGCAATCACAAGCGCGGGATGAAGAAAGATAAAGGACAACATTGCAGAGGGAAGCGCTTCTATAGTAATTAAATCTAATGGAAATTCTAATAGGGACCAATCAATAAAATAAATGAAAAATGCCGGTGGCCCTGAAACACACAGAAATGTCTCTATGTTTTGCAAATCCCTTTCCTTACAGCGTTTTCAGTTGTAATGGCTTATAAAGATGAGAACACTGTAAAAATGAAGAGGTCTATTGCAAAGAAATGGGAGGGACTTTTCTAGGTTTTAGAGCAATCGCTCAAAAGAACTCATGCCCTCCAACATTTCACA